GGGCCTGGGAGACTCCGGTGGGCGGGGCCAGGCGAGGCGGCAACGCCTCCCCCTGCCTGTGCTACCCGCCGCCCGGGGGATTTCACTGGTGTCTCCCCGCCGAGGGTCTAACGAAGCCCAGGCCTTGCCCGGTTTGGGTCAGCGAGCCCGTCTTTCCCTGGCGCCGGTACCGGAACCGCTGGGGGCACCGGGCCTCCTTAGGGTGAGCACATCTCCGAGGCAAACCGTGCGCCGGGTGAGCCAAGGAGCTGTGCTCCGCGAGCTTGCCTGGCTCCATCGCGAACGCCAGCACGCCCGCGCCCTCTCCCAGCGTGGTTGGGTTGGGGTCGGGCCGGGGGCTGGACACGGCGAGGTCTGGGCCAGCCCTAGGATTCGGGGCTGGGGGCTGAACGGCAAACGGTGAGGCTCAGCGCTTGAAGAATGGCGCGGCAGCCCGACGTAGCTGGTGCCTCTTAAAAAGGCAACCTAGGATCTGTTACCACTTGTTCTCGGAAACCATCCGCTCTGCGCGCAGCCACGGTCAAAAAACGCCGAGAGAATTTCAGGCACCAGCAGGAGAGGGCGGGATAATAAGGGAGAAAATATCGTAATGCCACGATATAAATCCATGGTACGCCCATGCCTGGACTAAGGGAGGGCCATGACAGAGATCTGTAGCATCACGAGGCAGTATGGATGAAGTGAATACGGAAATGTTATTTATCCTTTCATGTAACACACAAACTTGGGGTCTTCCAATCACATGAATGGGCAGCAGGGTTAAAACAAACATGAGGAAGTACTACGTCACACAATGCACAGTTAACCTGTGGAACTCCTTGCTAGGGGATATTGTGAAAGCCAAAAGCATAACTGGATTCAAAAGAGTGTGAGATGAGTTCCTGGGGGATAGGCTGATCAGGGACACAACCCCATGCTTTGGGTGTCCCTACACCTCTGCTTGTCAGATCCTGGGCGTGAATAGTGAGGGATGGATCCTCTTTTGTTCATTCCCTCTGAAACACCCGGCATGGGCCACTGTCAGAAAGCAGGACTCTGGGCCCGTGGACCATTGGTCTGACCCAGTCTGGCCATTTGGATGTTTTTAGGACTCTTCAACAGAGGGTTGAGTCCCTTTCAAGATGGGAACAGAGCTACCGAGGATGGGCCTGAGTGAACCAGGCTGCGGCCTTAGATGTAGTCACAGACGCTGAGCTAGAAGGCTGCCACGTGTGTGGATCTCAGGAGAATTCTGGGCCCTCCGAGTCTCTCGGCAGACCAGCATCAGACGCCTGGCTAGGGCAGACGGGACCGACGGGGTCAGGCCTGAGGATGGGAGAAGCAGAGGAGTTTGTAGTCAGGTTCCAGGCCGAGGCCTAAGCAAAGGATCCGAGTCTGAATCAGGTTTTAGGGTCTGGGTCAGGAGGCGAGGTCCAAGGCAGGCGTTCCAGAGCAGGCATGATGGTGGCAGCTCTCAGAGAGGCCCATGGTTGTCTGGACGCTTCCTGGACTGCTCCTTGGGCTTATATACAGCAGGGAGCCAATCAGGAGCCACGAGGTGGCTGCCTGTCAGACCTGTTGAGGCGGGACTTCCTGGGGTCTGTGTTCAAAGTGGGCTGTGGAACGATGGGTGGGTGGAGCTTCTCCTGGGTAGGAGCATGGTGCTGGCTGCTGCTTGACAGCGTCGAGGGCCTGAGTTCACGGCTCCCCGGTGGGAGAAGGCCAGTTTATGGACAGAGCACGTGGGTGGACGGGGAAAAGAGGCAGATACCTGCCCCTGCTCCTGCAGCGAGGAGACCACCGCAGTGTGGCTGGCCATGCACGTAACTTAGCAACCCCCTTGGTCTCTGCCCCAGGTATGTCCATTACTTCAGCGGCCTGCTGTCTGGCGCCATCAAAATGAACAACAAGCCCTTGTTCCTGCACCACGTCATCATGCATGGTATCCCCAACTTCGAGTCCAAAGGCGGTAAGTGCCGGCCTGGCCTGGGATCCCCTCCAAGCCCCCCTTCCTGCTCTCTTTGCCTCCAGTACTTTGCCTCTTAGCTGGGCCGGGAGCCGGGCCATGGGTAAGAGCGGCCCAGAGAGCCCAGCCTGCCGTGGGGAGCCCAGGACCCTCCAAGTGGGGGGCTGGAGCCCCCAAGAGCAGCCCTGGCCAGCATCCCTGCCCCCTGGGTGCACCCCCAGGGCAGGTGGTGGGTCAGGGGTTTGCTACATTGGCTGTGTCGCGGGGGCTGGGCGAGGTGGTGTCCAGATGCATTCAGCCTGGTCCTCAAACTCTGCTTCGGGGGGGGGGGGGGGGGCGTGCCCCACTGCGCG